GCACATAGTGGGTCCTGACTGGCGCCAGCTGTTTGATGTGGTCATCATACAGGCGGACAAGCCCAGCTTCTTCACCGACCTGCGCAAGCCTTTCAGAAAATGTGATGAGAAGGGCTCGCTCCAATGGGACCACATCACTAGCTTGGAAAAGGGCAAGATCTATCGGCAGGGAAACCTGTTTGACTTCCTGTGTCCCACAGAATGGCACGGCTCCTGTATGCTCTACTTTAGAGACTACCTCTTCAGTGACCTGGAGGACCTCATGCTGTGACACGGCTGGTGCACAGGTGCCATCATCCCTGAGCTGGAGTGTGAGATCCGCATCATCTACACGGAGCAGTACATGCACTCGCTAATGTGGCAGCAGGTACTCCCGGGGCTGCTGCAGCACATGCAGACCTACCAGGATGCCGAGTCATGGCAGGTGCTGGCTTTCTCGATGAAGGAGCGGCAGGAGTTGAGGTGTATCACCAAGGCCCTGTTCAACACTCAGTTTGGGAGCATATTCCACACTTTCACAACCCCACCTACTTCTCAAGGTGCCTCATGCGCTTCCCTGATCTGGCCTCCCTCAGCTGCCTGCTCAACTACTGCATGGACTTCACCTTGTACCCGTGCCGTCTGCCCCTGCAGCAGGAGGCGCCACTCCTGGATGGACTAGCTCTGCACCGGCTGCATGAAGACACCCTTCCTCAGTGACATGGCCCACATCCGCTGCGGACACCTTTATCGTCGATAACAGGCCCCAGCCCTCCTGCCCCGCCCACTCTGGGCAGCATCTGTCCAGATGGGCAATAAAGTGATCTCGCTCCCAAAAACAAAAACAGTAGGACTTACAATTGAGAAACATGAGAGAACTGAACTGAAGCAGAAGTCTTGAGAAGAATGGAAGTTTCCAAGTTACATAAGTATATTTTATAGAAAATCTTAATTCAATTCAAACAGCATATTCTTTCATGAAAATCCCTCTGATGCTTTCTACATGGATCTTTGTTTTGGAGCTGCTTATTTTGGAATTGTCTTTTAAAAGGTTATTTGGCCTGTGTGTGCAGTGTTTGAAGCATACCTAATCTGCTTCAGGGCTGGCTATCGCCTGCACGTGAGGCGTGTAGCAGGCAGGCTGCCGGCTGAAGGGAGACAAAGGGAAAGCCGTCCTCTCAGTCCTCTTCTTTCTGCTCTTGGGAGCACACTCTGATATTCCTTGCATATTTATTAAGGGCACCGAGAGGTAACTAACTCTGAAGTGTCTGGTTCCTGGTAATGCTTCATATCATTTCCTTTTTAAGAATCTGCTGTTTTAAATAGTGCTGATATTAACATTAGCTGTCAGCTATTGGTCAGTGCTGTGTGTCTGGTGATTCACATGTGTTACCTCATGTAATTCTGCCAACAATCTTATGAAATAGGTCTTTTTACCTTTCCTCTACAGAGGAGGAAGTTGAGACACAGAGAAATTAAGTTAATTCTAGCCAGTAATAGATGTCTGGCCTGGGCTTCTCTGGAAGCAGAGCCCGAGATGAGGATTTTGCTGCAGGAAGTTTGTTTGGGAGGTGATCCCAGGAAGCAGGAGCAAGAGAGCAGAGAGAGCGAGCAAGGAAGAAAGTTAATAAAGGGATGGATTATTCAAGTTGCTGCCACAGCCGAGGGTCTGCAGCTCTACCAGGACCTCTGAGTTGTGTTCAGATGACTTCTAGAGTCATCCACCCAAAGGATGGGAGACTGTGCTGTGGTACACTGACTTCTGTCAGCCTTCGGGTGAAAGCCGCCTTCATTCCCCAGAACTTGTTATTGTGGCTTTTCCGTTCCAGGATTCAGAGAATAGTCCGACCAGAAAGTCATATAGGTACACAGGCATGGCCTTGTGGTGGGGCCTGTGGGCATATGAAGGAGGTCCCACAGAGCTGCCTTCCAGAGTTGCAGCTGAAATCGGAGGTAGGCTGAGGGAGGGATGTGGTGTGAGGCACCAGAAGCGCCTGCTAAAAGGGATAAGACCCCAGCCCCACTGACTGATTCAGAACCTATGCTCTTTTCAGGTTACATCTCCCTGTAAACAAAGATATGAGGTGCGTGTATAAGTTAGGGTGGTGTGGAAATATAGAATGCACATTATCAGTCTTATACATAGAATTACATGTCCTTGGGAAGATTTACTTTCCTGTTGTTTTGCTTTGGTTAATGATAAACTTGTATTTCTTGCATGTATGTAGATTACAATAGAAGAATGCCCAGAATATTCTAAGTATTGGATACTATGACCAGTTTGGAATAAAAATATATTCCATTATTGAGTTTTTAAGATACATCATGCCTACAGGATTTTATAAAACTCAGAGTTGTGAAGTGTGATGTTGAGTGTGGGTGTAAGGCAATGACTAAGGCAGATCAGCCATATGGAGCTTGCCGATCATTGTACATACTGCTATGGTGTGTTTTTTGTTGTTTAAAAAATTTTCTTGGTAGCATCCTAGAGTTTTTCATTGAGATATAATCGATATATAACATTGTGTAAGTTTAAGGTGTACAACATATTGAATTGTTGTATTTATATATTGCAATATAAATACCACTGTAGAGTTAGCAACACCTCCATCACTTCACATAATTATCCTATATAATAAAAGACTAATATGCAAATTGACTGAATGGCCAAATGACCAGTCACTGTGACACGCACTGACCACCAGGGGGCAGATGCTCAATGCAGGAGCTGCCCTCTGGTGGTCAGGGCGCTCCCACAGGGGGAGCGCTGCTCAACCAGAAGCTGGGCTCAAGGCTGGCAAGTGCAGCAGCAATGGCGGGAGCCTCTCCAACCTCTGTGGCAGTGCTAAGGATGTCTGCTGGCTTAGGCCTGCTCCCCGCTGTCAGTCGGACATCCCCCGAGGGCTTCTGGACTGGGAGAGGGCACAGGGACCACCCCCCCTCCAGTGCACGAATTTCATGCACTGGGCCTCTAGTCTTTTATAACACAATATTGTTGACCATCATCACAGTGCTGTGCATTAGGTCCCCAGGACTTACTCATCTTCTAACTGCAAATCTATACCTTTTGACCAACATTTCCCCCATTCCCCCACCACCCAGCCCCTGGTAACCACCAGTCTACTTTGTTTCTAAGAGTAGATTTTTTAGATTCTACATATAAGTGATATCATACAATATTTGTCTTTGTCTGACTTATCTCAGTAAAGTGCCTCAAGACCCATCCATGGGTTGTCGCAGATGGTAGGATTTCCTTCTTCCTCATGCTGACTGATACTACGTTGTGTATAAACACATCTTCATTATCCATTCATCCAGTGACACTCAGGCTCTCTCTGTGCCTTGGCTACTGTGAATAATGCAGTCAACATGGGGGTGCAGATATCTTTTAAATATCCCCTTTTTTGGGATTGTCAAGGGCGGGGGGCGGGGAGGACACATATGTAATACCCTTTGTAATACTTTTAGCAATAAAAAAATAAAAAATAAAAAATAAATAAATATAAATAAATAAATATCCCCTTTTTATTTCCTTTGGCTAAATACCCAGAAGTGGGGTGGCTGGATCATATAGTAGATCTATTTTTAATTTTTTGAGGAACCTTCATATTGTTTTCCATAGTGGCTGCACCAATTTACAGTACCACCAAGAACGTACAAACATTCCCTTTTCTTCACATCCTTGCCAACTTATTTCTTGTCTTTTTTGATAACCATTCTAACAGGTGTGAGGTGATATTTCATTATGGTTTTGATTTGCCTGTCCCTGATGATTAGTGATGTTGAATATCTTACCTTGTACCTGTTGGCCATTTGTATGTCTTCTTTGGAAAAATGTCTATTCAGATCCTCTATGCATTTTAATTAGGTTTTTTGTTTTTGTTTTTTTGAGTTCTAATATCCCAAAGTTGTTGACACTCTCCAGAGATGAGCCTGAGGGGAGAGTGTTTTGGGTAAAATTATTTTACCGTGTTTTGGGCCCTATGTTTATCCCAGGACAGTAAGGTAGCTGAGACTTTGTTCTCCTGCCAAACTCATCCAAGCACGGTGTCTGCCACAGGGTAGGTGTTGCACAGTATTTGTTTAAGGTAAAGAACTCAAGTTGTTCTCTCTTCCATTCTCCAGCTAGTCAGATTTGGGCAGGGCTCATTTGGAGTATCCTATACTGCTGCAGAATGAATCACTACAACCACAGCTTAAAACAGCACAAATTAGCTCATAGTCTATAGGTCAGAAGTCAGGGTCTGGTGTGACGACTAGGTTCTCTGCTCAGGGTCTCCCAGGCTGAAACGGGTGTCAGCCAGGCTGAGGTTTGTTTTCTTACTTCCTCAGCCCTGCCTTGAAGGATCACTGCTCATTTTAATTATACAATTCTTTCACATTATTTCATTTAAGTTCCACATTCATATTGGATTAATATTTCTGTCCTAAATTTTCAGATGAGTAATGTATGCTTCAGAAAGGTTAACTGACTTTGATTGCACAGTTAATAAACAGCAAAGCCTTTTCTACTAGTCCACAATGGCTATATTGTTGCTCTTTAAGAAACATTGAGTCCTTCCTGTGGCCCGGCTCTGAGCGAGGTGATAAGATATTAAAAGGAATAACATGATCACAGTTCTCCAGGAAGTCCAAGTCTTTACTGGTTGTACTGTGATGCATGTGAGCTACAGAAGTTTGCTCACAATGTTGTGGAAACCACAGGATGGAGCACAAATTCTACTTGAGTTGAGGGATTAACTGAGAAGTCAGTCTTGAAAGACGAACATCTCTTCTGGGGAGAGTGGGAGATGTGGGTGGGAAGGTCATTCCAGGCAGAGGAACAGCATGAGCAAAGGTGGCAGGAACAGTGCAGCCGACTGGGAGGGAGGAGTGATTGTATTGCAGTCAGGACACCCTCCAGAGTTTGAGAAGCAGAGTTTGACACTATCAGCTTAGAGGGTAGATGTGAGTAGGTATTTATACCCACTTTCTATCTCAGTTTCTTTTCAACTCTGACCCAAATTATTCTGTTTCCTTAGCGGAACTAGATGCCGAGCACGCCCAGAAGGTCCTGGAAATGGAACACACCCAGCAAATGAAGCTGAAGGAGCGGCAGAAGTTTTTTGAGGAAGCCTTCCAGCAGGACATGGAGCAGTACCTTTCCACAGGCTACCTGCAGATAGAGAGGCGAGGCAAGTGGCGGGCTTCTTGAGTGTGTGCAGATGGTGTCGTGTGCACCCCCGAAGTGGGGTGTGGTGTAAAGTCCTCCAAAATCAGAGTGGATGCAGTATATTTGTCTTGCCATTGTTTTTGCCTCTTTCTATGGTTCTGGGCTTTAGTTGGAGATATTTAGAAAACATAAAATATGTTAGTGAAAAAAAGACAAGAAGCATTACCCATATTATACAACACAGAATAATTCCTAGTACTGTTTTAAAATGGTTCTTTCTAGTCTCTGTGTGTGAGTCTATATAATTGGTATCAAACTGTACATATATCTGGCTTTATATCTACTTTTTCTTAATACTGTGTGGGATCTTTCCCCTGTTATTATTAAAACTTCTTTGAAAGATGTTTTAAAACCTGTATCTTTGTTGTCAGGGTGAATCTAGTTGAACTGTAACTGTGCGTGATGAACATCTAGATGCATGAGTGTTAGGCTGCATCTCATAGCTCCCAAGAGCAAACTGAGTAGCAGAGAAATGAGGTACCAGCTCCTCCATCAGCCTCTCCTTCCCAAGACCTGGGAGTGGTGGGGGCAGCAGGAAGCATTGGGCAGCTTACATTTATCTCTCAGGTGGGCGAGAGGGCTGGAGCAGCCTCCCAGTCCCAGACAGTGTGGAGAAGTGCCCAGAGCTTCCCCGACTACCTGCCTTTCTGTCCCCCTGGGCATCTCACCTCTAGAAACCCCTCTCCTTCCCAGATATCTCTGTGCTGGCTGTGGATGTTGTTCTCTATACAGACCCTCACCACAGCCCCCAGTTTATCTCTGTTACCCTCACTCTGTTCCTGGTCAGTCAGCTCTGTGTCCACCCCAGGAGAGGTTTAAAGAAATCAAAGAACCAGGAAGGAAAATAATGTAGGAAAAACAAAACAGTAATATGTGAATGGTCAGAATGCACTGAAGACTGCATTATCTAGACAATGCTTTTTATTTTTTTTAAATAAATCTTTATTGTTGAAAATATTATATATGTTCCCTTTTTCCCCCCATTGACCCCCTCCAGTCCTCCCTGCCCCTACCCCAGGTCTTCAGCTCCCTATTGTCCGTGTCCATGGGTCATGCATATATACATACAAGGTCTTTGGTTGATTACCTTCCACCCACCCACCTCCCCCACCTTCCCTCTGAGGTTCCACACACTGTTCCATGCTTCCATGTCTCTGGATCCACTCAATTCATCACTTAATTTTGTTACTTAGATTTCACATATGAGTGAGATCATGTGATACTTGTCTTTCTGTGACTGGCTTATTTCACTTAGCATGATACTCTCCAGGTCCCTCCATGCTGTCTCAAAGGGTAAGAGATTCTTCTTTTTTACTGCTGCATAGTATTCCATGGTATAAATGTACCACAGCTTTTTTATTCACTCATCTACTGATGGGCACCTGGGCTGTTTCCAGATCTTAGCTATTATAAATTGTGCTGTTACGAGCATAGGGGTGCATACATTCTTTCTGATTGGTGTTCTGGAATTCTTAGGATGTATTCTTAGAAGTGGGATTACTGGATCAAATGGCAGTCCATATGTAATTTTTTTAGGAAACTCCATATTGTTTTCCATAATGGTTGCACCAGTCTGCATTCCCACCAGCAGTGCATGAGGGTTCCCTTTTCTCCACATCCATGCCAGCACTTTTCATTTGTTGATTTATTGATGGTAGCCATTCTGACAGGTGTGAGGTGATACCTCATTGTCATTTTAATTTGCATCTCTTTGACGATCAGTGACTTCGAGCATTTTTTCATATGTCTCCTGGCCATCTGTATGTCCTCTTTGGAGAAGTGTCTTTTTAGGTCCTTTGCCCATTTTTTAATGGGATTGTTTTTCTTACTTTTGTTAAGTTGTATAAGTTTCTTAAATATTTTGGATATTAACTCTTTATCTGATGTATCATTGCCAAATATGTTCTCCCATACAGTGGGCTCCCTTTTCAATTTGTTGATGGTTTCTTTTGCTGTGCAGAAGCTATTTATTATGATGTAGTGCATTTGTTTATTTTCTCCTTAGTTTCCTTTGCCTTAGGAGATGGATCTGTAAACATATTGCTATGAGAGTGTATGAGATTTTGTTGCCTATGGCTTCTTCTACAATTTTTATGGTTTCACGACTTACATTTAAGTCTTTTATCCATTTTGAGTTTTTTCTTGTGTATGGTGTAAGTTGGTGGTCTAGTTTCATTTTTTTGCATGTATCTGTTCAATTTTCCCAACACCATTTATTGAAGATAAATGTCTTGACTCCATGGTATGCTCTTGCTTCCTTTATCAAATAGTAATTGAGCATAATGGCTTGGGTCAATCTCTGGGGTCTCTGTTCTGTTCCATTGGTCTATATGTCTGTTTTGTGCTAGTACCAGGCTGTTTTGATTACAGTGGCTGTATAGTATAACTTGAAATCTGGTATTGTGATTCCTCTAACTTTGTTTTTCTTAAGATTGCTGCAGCTCTTTGAGGTTTGTTTTTATTCCATATAAATTTTGGAGTATTTGTTCTAGTTCTGTGAAGTATGCTGTTGGTATTTTAATAGAGATTGCATTGAATCTGTAGATTGCCTTGGGCTGTATGGACATTTTAATGATGTTGATTCTACCAATCCATGAACACAGTATATTTTTCCACTTGTTTATATCTTCTTCTGTCTCTTTTTTCTACATCCTGTAGTTTTCTGAGAACAGGTGTTTTGCCTCCTTGGTTAAGTTTATTTCTAAGTATCTTCATTTTGTTGTTGTTGTTGCAATGGTAAATGGGATTGTTTGTTTAGTTTCTTTTTCTGAGAATTCATTATTGGTATATAAAAAGCCATTGATTTTTTGGGTGTTGATTTTATATCCTGCTACATTTCCAAATTCATTTATTAACTCTAGTAGTATTTTGGTGGGGTCTTTAAGGTTTTCTATGTACAATATCATGCCATCTGTGAATAATGAGAGTTTTACTTCTTCTTTGCCAATTTGGATGCTTTTATTTCTTCTTCTTGTATGATAATTGTGGCTAGGACTTATAGTACTATGTTGAATAAGAGTGGTGAAAGCAGACATCCCTGTCTTGTTCCTGTTCTTAGTGGAAATGGTTTTAGTTTTTGCCCCCATTGAGTATGATGTTTGCTGTAGGTTTGTCATATATGGCCTGTTTGGATTTGTGACTATGTATTAGGTAATCTATTACGCCTCTCAATCTCTAGTGCAGGATGGTGTCAAAAGCTGTCTGACTAATTAGATCAGGCAAAGACTCAAAGCCTCCAGAAACCGCCTGTGGCTGCAGACTGATAGGATTCCTCTTGATCTGCCCTCAGGAAATCATCCACAGGTGTAGTAAGAGTTTTCTTCAACAGGGTGGAGTAATTGTTTCTGTCTGGAGGCTAATTGTTATTCTCAGTCTCATAAGGGGCAAGGAGTTTTCCAATAGGGTGGGTCAGCTGTCTTCCCCCCAGGCAATGCTGCCTGCATAGCAATTGTCTGCCTGAGAAAGAGACCTCTGCAGCTTGAGGGAATGGCTCAGCACAGGAAACCAGGGTGTCTGCCTTCTGAGCTCTTACCCCAGAGCCCTCGATCCTGGCTGCTGCTCACCCAGCTCCAGACCACTTTGCTGTTCCTCTTTCAGAGCACAGGATGGGTGGCTCCACAGGGAATTTTATGCATTGGCCCTTCAAGAGGGTGCCTGAATTTCTAGCCCTCTCTCCCTGGCAGACAGCAATCCCACTGCTTTTCACAGCCAGATATTATGTGCGTAGCCTTCTCAGTTCTGTTGCTCTCTGCTAGGGGGCCCAGCTGGGGAATTAGACCCAGAGTTCTCAGTGGCAACCCCCCACAGCTGAGATATCCCTCCAGAACTTCAGCTGCTGCCTGTGGGCGCCCAGCCAGCCCTTTTGTGCCTCCGCCTCTCCTACCAGCCTCTATGTGGTCTCCACTTTTGGTCCTTAGTTATCAGGGTTCTCTCCAGCAAGTCTTCTGTTGATTACTCAGGAAGTTTTTTTCTGTATTTTAGTTATAATTCCAGTTTGGACCTGGGAGCATATCCATGCAGCATCCAGTTACTCCACTGCCATTTTAATCTCCAACAATACTTTTTATTTTTTTTTTTTTTTTATTTTTTTTAAATATATTTTATTGATTTTTTACAGAGAGGAAGGGAGAGAGATAGAGAGTTAGAAACATCGATGAGAGAGAAACACCGATCAGCTGCCTCCTGCACATCTCCCACTGGGGATGTGCCCGCAACCCAGGTACATGCCCTTGACCGGAATCGAACCTGGGACCCTTCAGTCCGCAGGCCGACGCTCCATCCACTGAGCCAAACCGGTTTCGGCACCAACAATACTTTTTAAACTCACAGTATGGATCTGAAGTTTAATTTCTTTATCTCAGTCGGCTCTCCCTCTCTGTACTCCACTGACCTAGAATCTTCATCTAGAAAAGTCAGCCTGTTTCCTCAGAGTATGTGCAGTGTTCAGCTTCCTTAGTGTTTGGTGCTTTGCTTCACAGATTTGTGCCCTCATGGGCAGGAGCTGAGAAGGACATCGTCCTAGTCAATTCAAGCTGCCATAACAAAATACCACAGACTGCGTGTGGCTGAAACAACGGAATTTTATTTCTCACAGTTCTGGAGGCTGGAAGTCCTAGACCAATGTCCTGGCTGATTTGGTTTCCTGCCAGAGTCCTCTTCCTGGCTTGTAGCTCATTGTCCTCACATGATGGAGAGAGAGCATCTCTCTGGTTTCTCTTCTTAGAAGGGTACTAATCCCATTCTGAGGGCCCCACCCTTGACCTCATCTAAACCTAATCATGTCCCAAAGGCCCTACCTCCAAGTACCATCACAAGGAGGGTTAGGGCTTAAACATACAAATTGAGGGGAGCACAAACATTCAGCCCATTCAGATACAGACAGCCTGGAAAATTTGACCAAATTTGAGCACAATGAGACATTACATCAAGAGCAGGTGGGACAATGAAGAGAACAGGAATAGA